CCAAAAAGCTCCAAAGACAAGATCAGGGCCAGTATGTGTGTGTGTGTGTGTGTGTGTGTGTGTGTGTGTGTGTGTGTGTGTGTGTGTGTGTGTGTGTGTGAGTAGAGAGAGAGAGAGAGAGAGAGAGAGAGAGAATGTATATATGTACACACACAAATAAAACACACAGACATTTCTCTGTGAATTATGAGTGTGTCTCACAGTTAGTGTACAAAGAAAGGATATTTGATTGACTCTAGGTCTAGGACAAATATGTTTTCATTCATGTAATTAGAGAAACTAGTTAGAATTAAAGAAAATGCAACTGCAGAACCAAACCTTTCAGCATCAGGAAGTGTGGAACAAAATGTCTTTGCAATCTGAATGTGCCACCGAGCCCCTTTATATCACCTTAGTAGTGTAAATTGTGCTCTGCACTGCCAAAACTGTACAAAGATACCTTAGTGTAAATGAAAATCGGACCCAATGTCTCAGTTTTGCTAAAGAAGTGGCCACAAACTTAGAAGGAATCTTCTGTTTCCATATGAAAAGAATTTTAAAAGTAACAAAAAATACAGATGCAACCACTATCTCTCTCCTTTGTTATCTTCTAGCTGCATTTCTTTAAGAGATGGTGTGGTGTAGCAAAGCAGCAGGATGGACACACAAACATACAGACGACGGGAGCGCCTTTACCCTTGACATTCACTTTTGATGTTTCAAAACAAACACAGGTTCTTGCATGCCTTCCCGGAGTAATTGCAGTCTAAGGATGAGAATTTCTTTAAAAGGGTTTTGATAAGGTCTAATTTAGTCATCTATTACAAGCCCTAAACCTTTAATTTTACTGAAAACAATAATAGAACTAGATTGCTGTTTTCTACAGAATTAGAGGTTACTAGCTCTTTTTAGTGCAGTCAGTTATACATGCTCCTGTAATTACCACCAAAGCTTTTACTCCAACAAAAGTCAGTTTCATTCATTTTCTCAGGGGTGTCTTAGTATTTTGTTTGCCAATATTGCACTGCAGAATTCTCTTCACCCGATTTACCTTGGCACTCACACTTAATTACAAAGGAGTGACCTGGAAGAGATTGGGTTAATGCCAACAAAAGGTACATTGTTTGTCAACAAACAGACCTAAAACTGAAGGTACTTGAAGTTTTTATATGACTGTTGTCAGGCTTCAATTTACTTCTTCCAAATCTTTGTTTTTTATTTGTGTCTGACTGCCCTGGTTACAAGGCAAGCTGTGTTTTAGACCCCTTTGCAGCCCTTCTTGAGTGCACCCCACAGGCACCAATTCCTGCCTCTCTCTCAGGGGAAAAAACCCCACAGTTCAACCACTTTGAGACTGGACCTCTGGGTTGCAGCCCCCTGTAATACAACAGGCCCAAAAGTATTTGACACCTGCAAGAAAACTTCTCTCTGGGAGCCTGTGACCCACTGTGGTCGATATGACCCCAAAACAACTTCTTCAAAAACAAACATATTGTTTATTTCACCCACAGATATATAAAAAGCAGAGAAACAGTCAAAACAACAAAAGCTTATGCCCATCTGTTCTCACCTACACTTTATCCCTTCCTTGAAGTTTTTGGTAAGTTCCATTCAACCCAGGCCCCCTACTTCTGGGCTGGGAAAAACACACTGCACTGCCACATTCTCTCACAATGGTGTGTCTAAACTGCTTTGTTAACCTGGAT